ATAAGGAGGGGTGGAGAAGGAGAAAGAGTGGAAGGGAAGGAGAAAGAAGGGCTGAGAAGGAAAAAAGAGTGGCAGAGAAAGAGAAAGAGGGGCAAAGAAAGGAGAAAGATGGGCAAAGTAAGGAGAAAGGGGCAGAGAGAGAAAGAGGGGCAAAGTGAGGAGAAAGAGAAGGAAGGACAGAGAAAGAGAAAGAGGGGCAAAGAAAGGAGAAAGATGGGCAAAGTAAGGAGAAAGGGGCAGAGAGAGAAAGAGGGGCAAAGTGAGGAGAAAGAGAAGGAAGGACAGAGAAAGAGAAAGAGGGGCAAAGAAAGGAGAAAGATGGGCAAAGTAAGGAGAAAGGGGCAGAGAGAGAAAGAGGGGCAAAGTGAGGAGAAAGAGAAGGAAGGACAGAGAAAGAGAAAGAGGGGCAAAGAAAGGAGAAAGATGGGCAAAGTAAGGAGAAAGGGGCAGAGAGAGAAAGAGGGGCAAAGTGAGGAGAAAGAGAAGGAAGGACAGAGAAAGAGAAAGAGGGGCAAAGAAAGGAGAAAGGAGCAAAGTGAGGAGAATGAGAGGCAAAGTAAGGATAAAGATAGGCAAAGTAATTAGAAAGTGAATTAGGGGCAGAGAAAGAAAGGTGCAAAGGAAGGAGAAAGAAAGGAGAAAAGAAAGGAGAAAGAGGAAGAGGGGTCAGGAAAGAAAGAGGGACAAAAAAGGAGAAAGAGGGGCAAAGGAAAAAGAAAGAGGGGTGAAGAAAGAGAAAGAGAAAGAGAAAGAGGGGTAAAGAAAGGAGAAAGAGAGGAAAGTAAGGAGAAAGAAAGGGACAGAGAAAGAGAAAGAGAGGAAAAGTAAGGAGAAAGAGGGGCAAAGTAAGGAGAAAGAGAAGGAGGGGCAGAGAAAGAGAAAGATGGGCAAAGAAAGGAGAAAGAGAAAGAGGGGCAGAGAAAGAAAAAGGTGTAAAGGAAGGAGAAAGAGAAAGAGGGGAAGAGTAAGGGGAAAGAGAAAGACGGGTGGAGAATGAGGAAGAGGGGCAAAGTAAGGAGAAAGAGAAAGAAGGACAGAGGAAGAGAAAGAGGGTCAAAAGAAGGAGAAAGAAAGGGGGCAGAGTAAGGAGAAAGTAAGAGGGGCAGAGAAAGAAAGGGGCAAAGTAAGGAGAAAGAAAGAGGGACGGAGAAAGAGAAAGAGGGGCAAAGTAAGGAGAAACATAAAAGAAGGAGAAAGGAAGAAGGGTAGAGAAAGAGAAAGGGGAAAGTAAGGAGAAAGAGAGGCAAAGTAAGGGGAAAGAGAGAGAAAGAGAAAGAGGGGTCAAGTAAGAAGAAAGAAAGAGGGGCAAAGTAAAGAAAAATATGGGTGGAGAAAGAGAAAGGGGGAAAATACGGAGAGGGAGAAAGAGGGGCAGAGAAAGAAAGGGGGCAAAAGTAAGGAGAAAGATAAAGGGGTGAAGAAAGAAAGAGAGAAAGAGAAAGGGAGAGGGAAAAGGGAAGGAAAGAAAGAGAGAAAGGGAAAGGAAATAAGAAAGAGAAAGAGAAAGAAAGAGAAAGAGAAAGAGAAAGAAAGAAAGAGAAAGGGAAAGGGAAAGGGAAAGAAAGAAAGGTAAAGGGAATAAAGAGAGAAAGAGTGAAAGAGAAAGAGGGGCAAGATAAGGAGAAAACGAAAGAGGGGTGGAGAAAGGGGAGCAAAGAAAGGGGTAAAGAAAGGAGAAAGAGAGGAAAGTAAGAAGAATGATAAAGAAGGGTGAAGAAAGAGAAAGAGGGAAAAAGTAAGGTGAAAGAGAAGCAAAGTAAGGAGAAAGAGAGGCAAAGTAAGGAGAAAGAGAAAGAGGGGCCAAGTAAGGAGAAAGAGAAAGAGGGGCTGAGAAAGTGAAAGAGAAAGAGGGGCAAAGTGAGGTGAAAGAGAAAGAGGAGGAGGGCTGGACAAGGAGAAAGAGAAAGAGGACTGGAGAAGGAGAAAGATAGAGGGGCCGAGAAGGAGAAAGAGAGGCAACATGAGGAGAAAGAGAAAAGGGGCAGAGAAAGAAAGGCAAAGTAAGGAGAAAGGGGCAGAGAAAGAGAAAGAGGGGCAAACAAGAGAAAGAGAAAGAGAAAGAGGGATGGAGAAAGAGAAAGGGGCGCAGAAAGAAAGACGGGCAAAGCAAAGAGAAAGAGAAGGAGGGGCAAAGAAGGAGAAAGAGAGGGAGGAGAAGGAAAAGAGGGGCGGCTAAGGAGAAATAGAAAGGAGCAGAGAAAGGGAAAGGGGCAAAGTAAGGAGAAAGAGGGGCAAAGCAATGAGAAAGAGAAAGAGGGGAGAAGAAAGAAAGGGGGTAAAGTGAGGAGAAAGGGACAGAGAAAGGAGGAGGAGAAAGAGGGTCAAAGTAAGGAGGAGGAGGAAGAGGGGCAAAGTGAGGAGAAAGAAAGCTGGGCAAAGTAAGGAGGAGGAGGTAGAGGGCAAAAGTAAGGAGGAGGAGGAACAGGGGCAAAGAAAGGAGGAGGAGGAACAGGGGCAAAGTAAGGAGAAAGACAAAGAGTGGCAGAGAAAGAAAGAGGTGCGGAAAAATGAGAAAGAGGGTCAGAAAAGGTGAAACGGGCAGAGAAAGAGAAAGAAGGGCCAAATAAGGTGAAAGAGAAAGAGGGGCGGGGAAAGAGAAAGAGGGGCAAAGTAAGGCGAAAGATGAGCAAAGCAAGGAGAAAGAGGGTCATTGTCTCTGTGTCTGCCTCTGTGGGTCTCTGTCATTCTCTTTCTCTTTCTGTCTATCTGTCTATGTCTCTGTCTGTCTGTCTTTCTGTCTCTGTCAATCTGTCCCTTACTCTGTCTCTATCTTTCTCTATCTCTTTCTCTCGCTCTGTCTCTTTTGCTGTCTATCTCTGGCTCTCCGTCCGTCTCTGACTCTGTCTGTCTCTGTATCTGTGTCTCTGTCTCTGTCTCTTTCTTTGTCTCTCTCTTTCTCTGTTTGTATGCCTGTTTCTTTCTCTCCCTATGTCTGTCTCCGCCTGTCTGTCCTTGTCACTTTCTGTCTCTGCCTCTCTCTCTCCCCCTGTCTGTCTCTCTCTCTGTCTCTTTCTCTGTCATCTCGCTCTCTCCCTGTGTCTGTCTCTGTCTCTCTCTTTTCCTGTCTCTCTCTCTTTGTCTCTGTTTGTCACTGTCTTTCTCTCTTTCTCTGTCTCTCTCTTTCGGTCTCTCTCTCTTCCTTCTGTCTCTGTAGATGTCTGTCTGTGCACGTCTGTCTCTGCCTCTATCTCTTTCTCTATTTGTCTCTGAGCCTGTTGCTGTCTCTCCATGTGTCTGTCTCTGCCTGCTTCTGTCTGTCACTCTGTCTCTGTCTCTGCCTATGTCGCTGTCTGTCTCTCTGTCTCTGTCTCTCTCTATCTCTGTCTCTCTCTGTCTTTCTCTCATTCTGCCTCTCTCTCTCTCTGTCTGCCTGTCTCTGTCACTGTCTACCTCTGTCTGTCTGTCTGTCTGTGTCTGTGTCTGTCTCTATCTCTGCCTGTCACTATCACACTGTCTGTCTCTCTGTCTCTCTCCCCACCTTCTCCCCCATCTCTCCCCCCCCTCC